AGTGTGCATCAAATAATTAGTTTCATTAATCATTGGTCTTGTGGTGGCGTTCAATTTTTAAAGGGCCTCTGGTTTGGATTTCTGCTGTCAACTGACCATTACATTGTGACAGCATTTCTATTTTGGAGTTTATGGTTGGCTTGGATTGCTCTGCATTTGTTGATGGTTTTCAGTATGGATTATTTTAAGAAAATATAATTTTAGTAATTGTTACAAGGTTTTTTATATTTGAAATTTTGAGCAGAGCCCCGATATTTCTACACTATTCAGAGAGATGAGAGGAGAGACATCACTCAATAGAATTGTACAACTTTGAGAGCAGTATTTGTTGGGTGCTGCTAACAAACCTATCCAATATACTGATGGGGGATCTTTCTTCCAAATTTTGAGGTTTACAGAGGGTTAATTTGTGGAGATATACAAAAGTTTTCATGAGGAATATTTCTTGAAAATAATTAATATTTTTGTTTTATAAAAAATATTTACTCCTACCAATTTCTTCTTGTGTATTTATTGTCGGTTCATTCACAGATGTCATTTCTCATGAACATATGGAGTCATGGCCACAAGAAGCCTTAAACCCCCCAACTCCATGATATTGTCATAAACAGAGTGAAATGATGATATTTTATATTGACATTCGCAACTTCTCAGATAGAAAATGTCATTATTGTTTTGATTTCAACATCTTCTTGTTGTTTTATAATTGTGAGAAAAACTTGTGAAATATTCGTATATCTTCATATTCTGTTTTATACTCTGAAAATTCAAAACAATACTAATCAATGAAGGCATGGTTTGTTAGTTAAAATTGGGTTAGTGGTAAACAAATATGTAACATAAAGCATATCTATGATAATATGTATTCTATTTTTATGCAAGCATGCTTTATTTTGCTGCTAATGAACTGGACGGGTACTAGTGCTAGTGGAGTAGACCAAATAGAATTTGGTCTAGTTTCTGATGAAGATCAATGTTTTATTTATTTATTTATTCTTGTGTTTTGCAGGATTATATTATTATTATTATTTTTTTATTTTTTTTATAAATGTGCAGGATTATATTATGATGGTAACAATGGGGTTTGGTATTCTTATGATCACCAAACTCAGCAGTATGTCCCCTACTCTGATCAGAGTGACAATAAAACAGCTGGAAAACAAAATGTGAGATAAATTCTATACTTTTATTACTATTATATGCATGATACTTGTACATCTTCTTCATATTATCTAATTGTTTGTAAATAACCTCTTGCAATTCAATGGAAAAAAGACTTACACGGAAACCGAATTTGATGAAGTGCGAGTTGAATGGATTAATTTCGTACTAAAGAATATGAGTTGAAATCCAATGTAAGTATGATATAACTTCCGTTATTTAAATTGCTAATCAACAATTTCTTTAGTTAGTAAGGAATATATAATCACTTCAAGATTTCATTTTAGATTTGTTGATTCTATGTATATTTGGTTTTATGACTTTAAAATATCTGCTCATACATTGAAGATTTTCATTTTGGTTTTATTGATTCTATGTATATGTCATATTTATATATGGTAATCCAAACATTTTATACCAATAATAATCAAAGTTATTATTCATTTTCTATTGATGCAGTAGATGACGAGTCAGTGTGATGAGAAAATGTTCGATTTTGTCTTTTGTAAGACAAGAACAATCTCTACAAAAAATATTAAGTTTATTCATATGCTTCTAGTGGTTTCTGAATTAATTTATGTTTTTTATTTTTCAAGTCAGAAATTTCTTGGAGAAATGCAAAATATGGTCAAAGAATTCAACAATTTCATTTTTTCAAGGTTTTTTTTATTTTTTAATATATGTAAGCACAGTTAAAAACTTTTTATTAATTCCTTTGTATATACTTTTAAACATTTAACTTTCATTTATGAAATATATGACGTTATTTCATTCAATATATGGTTGTGATTCAAAATATAGTATATAGTGCGCATTACATTCTTCAAATACATATAACGTGTGATCTTATCTGATTATTAATCACATGTTATATTAGATATTAATCACACTTAAAATCTGTAAAAGATGTGATCTAAATATTTTTAATCACACTTAAAATGTGTGATCTAAATGTTATTAATCTCACTTAAAATGTGTGATCTAAATATTATTAATCTCACTTAAAAGTCGATCTAAATATTTTTAATCACACTTAAAAGGTGTGATCTAAATGTTATTAATGACACTTAAAATGTGTGATCTAAATATTTTTAATCACACTTAAAAGCTATGATCTAAATATTTTTAATCACACTTGAAATATGTGATCTAAATATTTTTAATCATACTTAAAAGGTGTGATCTAAATGTTATTAATCACACTTAAAATATGTGATTAAAAATGACCCATTTTAATCACATTCCCAAAGATCACACTTTAATAAATCTAAAAGGTGTGATTAAATAACATACATCACACAAAAAAAGTGTGATTTTTATATGTTTTTGTAGTAGTGTCATTTTACTTTTGTGTATATTTTGTGATGAGGCCTCTCAGAAAGCATTGAGGTAGAAGATCAACAGAGAGCTATTAATTTGGATGAATTGTAGCAACTTCATATGCTTTTGCTTGTAACTTAGATAAAATTTGATTAGAATATGGAGAGATTTCAAAAAAACTAGAAAGAACACAATTAATTTGCTGTGAAATTCCATGTGTTCTTTTTTCCTTATCCTCTAAGCATGTAAGTGAAACATAATAAAAACCAAATAAGTGGCAAAATGAGAAAGGGAAACTATTAAACATGGATTGGAAGGCTCATATAATAGGAGATTAATTTATGATTCCTTAAAATGCATCTTTCACATCATAGAATAAAGAACTAAGATTTCAGTTTCTATGATTGTATTTTCTGTTTGTTCTTGAGTTTGGTCTGAAGTTTCATGATAATGGTAAGCAACCAGCTGAGTAACTAATACAGGGTATTAAGACAGAACTTTAGATTTGATATAGTTGTGGAAGAAAGAAAGGAATATGAGTTTGGTATTAGTAATTGTTCCATATCTTGTGAAATTTAAATAGATTTTTTCACAATCTATCTTGCCCATGCTTATATGCCTTCTAATTGTGAACGGTGTAAATTACTCGTTTTTCTTTTTTCACCCAGAAAAATCATCTTATAATGAAATCTCAACAAGTCCTCTAATCTATATTTCAAAGAATTGAATGAAACTAGTGAATAATTTGAAACATCTTTTAAGTTGAAATGATATATAGGAAAAGGATAGATATGAATAATGCAATTCTTTATTATCAAGCATTAAATTTGTTTTACTAGTGATACATTTCATTGTTATATTGGTTCATTCTTCCTTACAGGAACAATCAAAAGCTAACATATTTGTCTTACTAATGATACATTTCATTATTATATTGGTCATTCTTTCTTATAGGAGCAATCAAAGGGTAACATCGCGAACAGAGAAAGGATGTATACAAAACACAGGTGTGGTTCTAGGTCAATCGCTGTTAGAGTAGAAAAACTGGTACGTATCCTTGCACTTTAAGAATTAAATGGATCAATATAAGTTATATGAACTTACGTCACATTAATGGGATGCACCATTTGTGAATTAACCTTAAAATTAATTTTTTGTTCTCATAATCTCGAAAAAAAGTCTGTTAGAGGGGTAAATTGTATAATTGATTTAATTGTAAATTGATGAGTTACTAATATTTTTAATCTTTTGTATAATTAATTAATTACTAAAGCTTTTAATTTATTTTTTTGCAGATTGGATTGGGGTGGCATTTTTGACGTGCAACAATGATCTAATTTGCTTGAATGTTCAATTTTGTTTGATAAGGATACACATACTTTGTGGAGTTGCACTAGTTATTGTTAGATTTTTGGTAAAATTGAACAAGTTATAACTTTTGGATATTTTGTGGATATTTCACTATTTTATTGTATTAGGATGAAATTATTTGTGATGATGAATGGATATTTTCATTTTGTTAATTCGTAAATGTGTTGATAACAGGTTAGGTTAAGTTGTGATGGAATTGTTATATTCAACAAGTTTCAACATGAACAGGGTTATATTTGTTGAACTAAAATTTAGATTTTGATAAAATAGGTATGTAATATGGAAAAAAATATTATAAAATTATTGAAAAAATTTTCCATCCCTAAAGAAGGTTCTTTTGTCTCTTATTTCGCTTAGGTGGATGATTAATTTTGTCATGAATTTTTTATTTCGTCACTAAATGCATTTGTCGTGACAAAAAATATTGTCACATTTTGTCACTATTATCCTCAATGTGTGACGAATTTTTTTTGACATTATTTTATCGTTTTTAATGATGAATTTGTTTTTATCTCTATTGGTAGCTTCTTTGACAAAAATTTTTTGTCTTCGTTTATATTAAACGTGACAAAATTATTTTGTCTCCATTTCTTATATTTATGACAAAATAATTGTGTCTCTAATTTCTCCTTTAATGACAAAATATTTTGTCGCTAATTACTTATAAGTATGTTCCCAACAGAGTGTATTTGAGACAAAAAAATTTGTCACAAATTTATCATTTTTAATGATGAATTTGTTTTTGTCTTTATTGGTAGTTTCTTTGACAACATTTTTTTGTCTTCGTTTATATTAAACGTAGCAAAATTATTTCGTCTCTATTTCTTATATTTATGACAAAATATTTTTGTCTCTAATTTCTTCCTTTAATGACAAAATATTTTGTCGCTAATTACTTACAAGTATGTTCCCAACAGAGCGTATTGGAGACAAAAAAATTCGTCACAAATTTATCATTTTCAATGACGAAATTGTTTTTTCGTCTCTACGACCTTTAGCGACGAGGCTTTGGCGACAAAACGGGTGACGAAAAATTTTCGTCGTAATTAGTTTGGGTGACGAAATATATATATTTTGGGACAAATTTGTTTTGTCTTTAAATCCCAAATTTGTTGTAGTGTCCACATCTGGTACTGTGACTAGTAGTTAACATGACTATCATATGGTCTGGTCTATCTTTGTGTTGGTTAGCATAAACAGTAGATGCACCCCCTACAATACATGTACCAGACTTTTCACCAAGCATACTTTTCACCACCAGCAGCCTACAAAGGTTTGAAGCATATCTGAAGGCAATCCAACTCAGAGTACATAACCCAGCACAAACCCTGCTGCCTTAATATTCAAACAAATAGTCAACCTAGTCCCTAATTTGCACTAACTGATTCAGCATCTGATCTAATTCCATTTGAACAAATAGTCATCAACTGAGAGAGAAAAGTCCTTTGAAGTAGCTTTAAGCCAAAGAACAGTTCTGGTTTTGATGAGATCATATAGACCAAAGGAACTGGTCTGAGACAAAGAAAAGACACACTCATTCCTATGTTTCTAGAGAGACCACAGAACCACTAAGGGTATTGCTTTCCAGATTTTCTTCTCAAGCCTCTTTAATTTTCCACCCATCCACCAGTAGAAAAGACCTTCTACTGAACCTTGAATGCACCAATTAAATCCCCAGTCCTGAATCACTGATGACTAGATACACCAGGAGAAAGGGCAGTGTAGCAAGACATGGACAGCAGTTTCAATTTCAGAGCTGCAGAATGGGCAGAGGATGGATGCACTGCTGCTTAATATGCCTAATCTGTGCAGAAACTCTGCTGTCTTTAATCTGTTTTTCCAAGCTAGCCAACCAAAAAAGAGAACTTTGGGGGGAAGTGCATTATACCAGACAAACTTACAAATTTTTAGGAGAGGGCCATGCTGGGAGCTGCTGAAAGAGTAAAGAGCAGATACAGAGAAAGAACCATTGGCCCAAACATGACAATCCACCCTGTCTAAACACAGAGGAGGAGAAGAGGATAAGACAATAACAAGTCGGATTTCTTCAAGTAATTCCCAATCATAAAGCTCTCTTCTATACTGAAAATTCCAATTATCTGAGCTGGATTTTCTGTGGTAGAAATAATGAAGGGATCCTTCCTTTTCAGTAGTAAGGTTGTAAAGAAGAGGGAATTCAGATTTAAAACAGAGCCCTCCACACCATTTGTCATGCCAAAATAAGATTCTAGACCCATTCCCCACTTTAATTAGATAGTTAACCAAATAGAAGTTGAAGATATTCCTGCTAGAGGCCCAAATGAAAATGATATCAGTCCACAATCTAGAGTGTTTATAATGGGATTCGAGAGGAGGATGCCAACAGTTTTCATTGATTTTATATTTGCTACAAATAGCCCTTCTCCATAGCGCATTGACTTGATTCCCAAACTTCCACCACCATTTGAGAATTCTAGACCCATTCCCCACTTTAATTAGACAGTTGACCAAATAGAAGTTGAAGATATTCCTGCTAGAGGCCCCAATGGAAATGATATCAGTCCACAATCTAGAGTGTTTATAATGGGATTCGAGAGGAGGATGCCAACAGTTTTCATTGATTTTATATTTGCTACAAATAGCCTTTCTCCATAGCGCATTGACTTGATTCCCAAACTTCCACCACCATTTGAGAAGTAAACAGGTATTCACATCTCGAATTCTTCTTATACCTAGACCCCCTTGATTGACAGGCTTTGTTATATCCACCCATTTCACTAGATGAACTTTCCTCTTTAGATCATTGCCACCCCACAAAAACACAGCTTGAATCTTCTCAATTTCTTTTGCAACTCCCTCAGGCATCTTAAATAGAGAGAGGTAGTATGTAGGGAAGCTGGATAGAACAGATTTTATCAAGGTTAGTCTACCTGCGAAAGATAGTAATTTCCTCTTCCACCCTGCAAGCTTGACTTTGATTTTGTCAAGAACAGGTTTCCACATTGATTTCCTACCTAGATTGGCTCCTAATGGTAGTCCCAAAAATTCCATTGGGAGTTTTTGCACCTTACAATTAAGGAGATTTGCAAAAGACAGCAAAAGGTCATCCGACACACCAATCCCGCACACAACACTTTTATGATAGTTGATTCTAAGGCCCGATAGAGTTTCAAAACATCTAAGAATTCGTTTGATAACTACCAACTGATCCCACTCTGCATCACAAAAAAGGATTGAATCATCTGCAAATTGGAGATTGGATAAGAGAACCTCATTAGCCCCAAGTTTCACTCCTTTGAGACTGCCAAGATTAAGTGCTCTGTTGAAAAGAATGTTGAGCCCTTCCGCTGCTATATTGAAAAGGAATGGTGAGAAGGTTCATAATCAAAGTTGATCTTCCTTTTATGTTGTTGTGAAGGTTCATAAAAAGGGCTTGCTTGGAAAAGAAGCAAAGTTGTAGATCTAGAGCATGGGAAGGAGTTTTTTTTTGTTTGTTTATGTTTGTTTTCATTACTTTTCTTCATTAATCTGCAGTTTAATTATTAATCTTCAGTTACCAGACTCTCTCTCTCTCTCTCTCACAGAATGTTTTAGGTTGAATCCCATTTCGGAGCACACAAGAATAATGAACCAAACTGTGAACCACAACCAGGAATAAATATGATTCCCACCTACAAATACAATATTTAGTTAAAATTTAACAGCGAAACTTTGTTCTCCCATTACCAGTAGGTTTATTTTTTTTTTTTGAAAGAACAACATAATGTTTGGTTTAAAAAAATAAATTTACTTTTCAAAAAATTGAGTTTTTTTGTTTTCTATATTTTTAGGTTTCATTCCAATCAATTGAGTTTTCGGGACCAAACTCAATGAAGAAGGTATTTTAAATATTTTATATACAATTACATTAAATTTAATGGCTAAAATAATCTTTTTTTTCTGTTAATTTTACTTAACGAAAATAGACAGATAATTTAAACTAAAAATAATTCAAAATATTAAGATTTAAATTAATAAAATTAAAAAAATCAAAATTTATTTTGTTAAAATGTTGGAGGTTTTTTTATTTTTTAATTATCCCTAAAAATTGTATATATATAGGTTTTCTTATCATTATAACAAACATTTTGGTTGTGTTTTGAAACATGTTTTTGGGAATTTTTTTTAAAAAACATGTTTGGTTACAAATTTTCTCAATTTTTTTTAAAAATTACTTCTCTCTCTATTACACATCAGTCAATCACTTTTTTTCTCTCCTCTCTCCTCTCTTTTTCTCAATCATTTTTTCTTTCACACATCTACTAAACTACAATAAAATATCAAGGCTTTGTTCGGTTTGCTTTTGAGAGAGTAATTTTAAAGAAAATTTTTCAAAATTTTGTTTGGTTTAGTGATTTTGGGAAATTTTTTTTCAAAATCACTTTCTCTCTTCTACATATCAATCAATCACTTTTTCTCTCTCATTTCTCCTTCTCAATCACTTTTTTTTCTCACACACATCTACTCAACTACAACAAAATATCAAATCATTCCAAACTCTCATACTCCAAAACTATTTCCAAAATATACAACCAAACAAACCAAAAAAATTTCTAAATTCTCTCCCCAAATTTTTTTTTGAAAATTTATCTCGCAAAACCAAACCAAACACAAATCATACCAAACTCTCAAACTCCAAAACTCTTTTCAAATATACAACCACAAAAACCAATATTTTTTTTTAAGTAGCGTTTGGTAGAATTTTCTAAATATAATTTGAAAATAGAGTTATATTTTAAATTTGTGAATTTTAAAATTATGATTTGAGTGTAGAAAATTTGTTTGGTTATGAATTTTGATAAGATTTTTGAATTGAGTGTTGAATTAAGTTTTGAATATTTGATGTGATATGTGAAATAAGAAATTTGTTTGGTTATAAGTTTTGAAAATTCAAAATTTAACTCAAATTGTTATAACTCATAACCAAGCACACTACTCAAAACTCTATTAAAAATTTTGATCAACATTCATAACCAAATTCTTTTTAAAAATCAATTAAAAAATAATTATTTACAAAAAAATAACATTAATCAATTTTTTTAATTGAAAATTTTACAAAGGAAAGAATTTTTTTTCAAAATAAATATTTAATTACTGATTTAAAATAACTTTTATTGTATATTTGGTTTGAATTGT